GGTTCACTGAGCCCCATGATCCAGAGACAGGGTCTCTGGGTACCGTGTATGGTTCCTGCTTGTGCCTGGGAAGGGACCAGTGACACCTTGAAGGACGACAAATGAGAAGACCTGGGGGTAAGGGCAGAGCGCAGAAGCCCCCATCCGGGAAGTCCTAACAGCCAAGCAACGCTAGGTCTGGGCCACTCACGAACTCCATGTAAGGGGTCCCTAGAAAGTCACCTAGGGGCCAGCCTCCCAGCCTGTCTGCACTGTCCTGAGCCTCTGCGTCCCATACTCGGTGTCCCTGGAACCACAGCTGGGGTCGTCTACGGAACTTGTGCATCTGGCCCGGCTCTCATTCATCCAGTAGATCCAGCCAGGCGCAGCCAGGGATCTTTCCAGGAGCTTTTTGGGTGTCGGACACGGACGGCACTTAGCGCGACCTCTCCAGCTGTCCAAGCAGTCACCGAGGGTGCAGCGGTGACATGTAAACAGAAACCGCGTCAGGACCTGTGCAGATCAGGACCGGAGCCGGCAGCGCCCAAAGAGCAGCCAGCGGACCCGGGACGGGACGTGGCAGGGTGGGGCGTCCCGCTTTGGCTCTGCAGCGCAGCTTCCTCCTCCCCTACCCCTTCCCCCCTCGCCCCTCCCCCACACGGGGTGTGGCGGGACCTGGGCCAAGGCCCAGGCCATTGGGCCAGGTCGGTCTGGTCAGGGGACTTTGTCCGCCCTCACTCCTTTCCCAGTGTGTTCAGGGACCTCTGCCCTGAACGCCCCTCGGGGAGCCACCGACCCCACCACAACAGCGCTCCCTAGTGGACCGCCACCTCGTGGCACGGGGATGCGTCAATTTGCATCCTGGAGAAGCAGCAAGGGGTGGAGGTCTCAAGTCTCAGAAAAGGGGGTATTCTTGTGAGGAATAGGGGTGCCCCCAGGTACAGAGATTCTAGACGCGTTTTCATCGCTGCAGTGACAGGCAAATGAAGGCAAAGCGAGGCAAACAGAACTTGTCCCCTGGTATCTGTTCTCTCCCCACATTTAGAACTTGCCTATACAGTGTCAGAACAGAGGCATCTCTGAACCACCTTCATAACATTTATGACCTCTGAACTGCGTTCTGGGGTGTAAACTCAAGTGCTGTGTGTGACTCCTAGGAAACCTCCTTAAAGGGAGAAGGGATGTCCTTCAAACTCATCCTTATTGTCTGGAATGCAGATGTGATAGCTGCTGCCCCAGCAGCCATTTTACACCATGCAGTAGAGGGTGTATGGCTGAAGATGGTGGAATAGCAAGGTTCCGTATAAAGGAGCCTGGACTCTGATATCACAGACACTGTACCAACCCTGCATGGCCAAGTTCTAGGTACCTCTTATGTAAAAGACAAGTACATTTCTATTCATTTTCTTTTCTTTTCTTTTTTTCATGTATTTGGTTGTTATAGGGTCTCACTATGCAGCCCAGGCTCTTGGTGACCCTCCTGCTTTCATCCTCCCAGCACTGGAATTACAGGCATGCGCCACCACAACCAGTTTGAGGGCTGGCACAGCACGCATGCAATACCAGGGATCACTACACCCAGACTCGGGCCGGCTCAGCCCACCCTGGGGGCAGGGCTGGCACAGCATGTGGTGCCCGAGTTCAAACCGTGGTCCCTGAGGTTGTCTAAGCTTTCCTAAGCAGGCGCATTAGTTCACTGAGCTATCTCACTAGCTCTCTATTCATCTTAAGCCACTATTTGTTTGGGGTTTTTTTTATTTCACACTTGGGTTTTTTGTTTTTTGTTTTTTATTTATTTATTTATTTATTTATTTTATTTTATTTTTTTTTTTTTTGGTATGAGGATCAAACTCAGGACCTTGTGCTTACCAGGCAGGAACTTACACTGCTGAGTGATCTCCCTGGCTTGTTTTGGTTTCGGACAGCTGAACAAAATCTTAACCAATAGAGGAGGTGAAAATCCTTTTTGTTAGCAGGGGAGACGCAACAAGTACAAGAGAAGTGGAGGGCAAGCCTGACAGCTCAGTGGACTAAAGCGCTTGCTTAGGCAGACTGCAGCAACCGGGAGGCATGCCTTGCCAGCCCTGCCCGTGAGGCACACTGCGACAATTGAGACTGGGCGTGGTGGTGTGCACCTGTAATCCTAGTTCTTGGGAGGCTGAAAACAGGAGAATCACTACGAGTCCTATCTAAGTAGTGAGACCCTGTAGACGTTGTAAACCCTGTCCTAAATACAGAGAGAGAGAGAGAGAGAGAGA